AAAATGGCGACGTTTTGCCGAAGGGAGGACTTAGCCCGTAACTCTGCCCTCTGCCTGCAAAGCCTGCAGAAGGGAGGGAGAAAGTTGCACAGAAAAATCCAGGAGGCAAACACAGACTTTTGCTCTGAGCGTGCCTCTCCAAGAAGAGGGGTTTGAGGTTTCTCAGAAAACGCGAGTAGCAAATCCTCTAAGCCCGGTGATTTCTCAGGCATGTGCCCTCGCCGTCGGCACCTCGCGGCTACGTGTACCCAGGGTACCTTGCGGAGAGGTGTTCGCCCCGGGTGAGCTGTGCTTCCCGCTGGAGTCCCGCCAGCCTGGGGCCCCGCCAGCCGAGGGGAGGGGGGAGGATGGAGGGAGCGAGCACGCTGGATCGCCACACGAAATGTCTGCTCTGCTCGTGTGCAGTCTCTTTGGCCGGCAGCCTTTTTGGCTAGCCCCACCTGCCTTTTTTCCTTTTTTTTTTTTTCTTTTTTCTTTTTCCCCACCCCAACTCGCTGAACTGACGGAGAGGAGGCTGCGGCTCCTCTCCGTCCCTGCAGCCTTCCTGTCTGGCTGACATTCTGCCCTGGACGCAGATGTATACTTAAATATGAATTCTGCGAGGCACACGTTATGCTTGCGGAGGGAGCGTGGAGCGGGAAGATGCTGCGATCCGTAGGTGGCTGCTGCGGTTGGGCTGCAAATAGCTGCTATCCTGTGCAAGAATGAAGTAACAGTAATAATATACTGCCTTCAGCCCCGGTTGTTTAGAAAGAAGATTTCAGTACATTTTAACAATTAATTCTGTGTCCAGGCAGCTACTTTGTTTGAAAGTGTCCCATCCCCATACCTCACCCTCTGTGAGCTCATTTACGTTCGAGTTATGTCACCTTGCACTAACCTGGTGGCTGTTGATTGAGCCCCGTGACAGCTCTTTGCAGAGGTTTGCCCTGCTCTCTGCCAGCAGCCTGCCTCCCTCGTCCAAAATGCTGCTCGGTTCCAGACGGGGTTCAAAACGTCTGAGTGAATGCTGTCCTGGGCAAAATGGTTGGATTTCTAAGAGTAATAGCTAAGGCGGGACAGATAACCCCCTGCAAAATCCCATTCCCGCAGCAGTCAAATAAGGCGAAGCAGGAGCGCGCCTGCAGCGTAGAGGAGGCACGTTACAGCTTTAACATGTGTTAGTTGGTCAAGGTGAACCCTGGACCGAGCCCATAAACATTTAAGTCCCAGGACAAATGTTTGGGGTTGTACAAACATGTTAACTACCTCCAGTTAATTGGCAAGCAATTACCTTGAAGTAGAAATAGCTTTCCCACAGCTGAGCAGTCACAGAGTGCCTGTCCGTGTGTCCGTCCCCCCCCGCCCCCCGTGAACACTTACAGGTCGCGAAAATTTTCGGCAGAGGAGCCTTGTCCAACTTGCCTTCTGGATCCCGGCGGGTTTGTGATCAAAAGGTTTTTGTCCCCAGCAGCAATTGCTGTTTGTTTGTGGTAGACACTCAGAAAGTAGGGCTGTGCACCAGAGCTAATTTTCATGCTGCCCTTTGATAAAGTTCTGCAGTTCATAATGCAATGTAAAAATAGGATAATATTGACCACCAAAAGCAAGGGCTTTACTGCATGCACTATAAGGGAACTATCAGTGAAAGCTGGGTAAGTATTTTTAACTTAAAGACAGGCTGGCAGGCTAGAATGTGTTTCCTGCTGGATTTTGAATCTTTCTGATACTTTGCGTGACAGATATGCAGCTGGGCTGGATTTCCTTAGATGTATATGCAGTTGAGAACCGAGAAGCAAAGTCCTGCCTGCACCCAACACAGCACTTGGACTACCAAGTGAGAGACCTGTGGTCAGCTGTGTGACCTGTTGCCTCTCTGCTGCCAGGAAAAGCTACAGAAGTCAGTAGCATCTTTTCGTGAGGTCTCCAGTCCACGCAAACCCATCGGCTTCTCTTAGAACTTGGATCAAGTCCTTGCTTGATCCTCCACAACGTTTTGACAAAAAAAATGCCTGGATTTTCTTGGTCTGTGATGAAACCACAACTGGGTTTCTTTCTTGGGAGAGATTATCACAGCATTGCTGGGAAGGCAAAGTGAATGAGTGGAGCCTGTCTTTGAGCTCCCGTGACTCTGGGGCTCGTGGTGGCTGAGATGAACTGGCACGTGGTGCAGAGTGGTTCCAGCTGAAGAGCTGCCATCAGCACCACAGGGTCTTGTGGCAGCGGGCGAGGTCCTGCGGGCTCTGTCCCTGTCTTCACCTGCTCCTGGTCATCCCTCTTCCCAGGAAGTAGAATGTCGTGCCGAGGAGGAGGGAAGCAGGTGACACTGGGAGCCTCGAGAGGGGCAAGCCCCCTAAGCCGGGACATCTGGCATCCGCATGGATTTGCATGGCGTCCCCCTGGATGCTGCAGTGCGGTGGAGGGTCGGTCCACAAAAAACTTTCCAAGGCAGGCAGCGGTCTCTGCCTTGCATCCTGGAGGAGCAAGGGAGTGGCAGATGGAAAACAAAACTAGCAAAGTGCATTTCACAATCCTGGCAGCAGTACTCAGCAAACACAAGGACTGCAATGATGGAGTCTCAGATGGCTCTCCCTGTGCAGCCTGCCTTTAGAAACTTTGGCGTTATGGCGAGGCTTGCCAAAAAGGGCTCCTGGCCCCTCGGCTGGCTCCTGTGGCCACGCGGCCTTGCATTTGATATCTTCAGGTGCTTCAAGCAAGAGACGCTGTAATGGGTGCAGATACCAGAGCTTTCCAGGAAACATTCAGACACAAGTGCAGCTCTGTTCGCTGTAGCTCCTTTGAATTCACTTTCTGTGCCTACAGTGGCAGACAAATTTGCTGGCAAACATTTTGCAAAAAAAAAAAAAAAAAAAAGGCATTGATCCAGAAAGGCACTGTGCACAAACTAAGCTTAATATAAACGAGTACACCTGTGCTTAACGCTAGGCACGTGATGAATGCTCTGCTAGATCCTAGCCAAAATAAATTTAAAATAAATATCAGAGCGTACTCGTGGAAAATGAATGCTGGTCTTGTAAGCAGAAACGCATGCAGCAGAAACAGAGTCGACTGCTCCGTGTGTCCGCTGGGGATATCCAGCAGGGAGGGTCACGTGCGCTCCTTTCGAGCTCACCAGCGGAGCTGGTGAAAACAGGTTTTGATTTGAATGAGTTATGACCCATTGAAAATGGCATCATGCGTAACCACAGTAAATTGTCATAATGAGATCACGAGGCTCAAAAAGTGGGAAGCGAGGAAAGAGGCCTCATTCCACCCGCGCACACGGCTGACTGAGCCCTGGGCTGCAAAATGCAACGGAGGGGCACGGTCTTATTCCCTGAACATCTTGTCGGTTTAGCGACAGGACCAGAGGTTGCACAGCCAGACAAAAACAGCCGGACAAGTCTTGAGTTAAAAAGAAGAAAACAAGCCAAAATTCCTATGGCTTTGCATTTAGTCCTATCCAGGGTGACAGAAGGGACTGGGCTAACGCAAATAGTGGAAAAACATGAATACCGTAGGTGCTTCCGTGCTTACCGAGGGTTAGCTTGGTTGTTTCGAGACCATGTTGCTGTAGGAGGGGAGGGTTTGGTGATCAGGGCAGAGCACTCCATAGCTGAAGGCACCTCTCTCTGGAAGCACGATAAAGCTGTATTCACTTGGCACATCCCCGGGCTCACAGCTCTGCCGGGCCAGCCCGTGTGGACCCTGCAGAACCATCGCTGGCTTTTCTGTTTTCATGGTGAGGCAAGTCTGAGACTACAATGCACTTAAAACTTTACCAGATATCAAGCCCGGATAACGTAAGCAGCACAGCTCTTGCCTGCCAGGAGTCTCGTAGGTGGACGTCTGGAAAGAACTCCATTTCTTTCCTCCTTTCCGATACAGTGCTATTTGTGTGGGGCCATTCACAGAGCAGGAGACTGGAAGAAACACACTTGAACTCATTCTGTTTCTCTTCTAAAGTTATCGAGTGCACGTTTCCATAGAGGCCCGTTGCAAAACACTACGCATATGATCTAACCACATCCTCCCGCTCCCCCCAAGGTGGAGGGCAGAGGTGCTTTGGTGTAACGCATCACCAGCTTACAGGACCCGTTTCCTTTGTCTCGTGCCTTAAGGCAAACCCGATTGCCACCCCTCCTAGGCTTGCACCCTTCAGTCTCCTCCATCTGTTACGCTTTGCACACAAATATCTGTGCCCCCGAGCCACGGAGACAACTCAGGCTCGTGCTGATATGCAGCATCTTCCTGACTTGTTCCATTTACAGTATTTTTATTACAATTAAATGCACAGCCTGAGTCCACGAACAGAGAAACACCCAATTCAGCGCTGTTCCGTGCAGTGCTTGGGCCGTAGCAGGTTAGCCCTTAGCCATGGCGTTGTGGTTGCGTTTACCTAAGGTATGCAATCTGAATAGCACGCCGAAGCCTAAGCCTTTCCCAGGACCCCAAATCTTCTGTTGCGGGCAGCTGAATCCAAGGTCCCTCTGCTCTTGTAGTAGGCGCGCTCCAGGCCAGGCTGGAGAGGACTCTGGCTCGTCTTGTTTTACTGATGTTGGCTGGCTGACATTGCCGCAAGGACGGCCGAAACAGATGGAGCCCAGCCAAGCTGAAGGGACAGCGGGGAAATGTGTCCCTGCATACGCTTAAGAGCAAAGCACGGGGAGCACACGGGCTTTCCTGGTGCTAGTGTACCAGAGAAGTCTCCCCAGAGCTGACCCAGCGGGCGTTTCTGCGTGCCAGAGCCGCAGATGAATGTGCCAACGCTGCCCGCGCTGCAGCACAGGTGCAGCTGTGGGGAACCGAGATTTTCCAGTTGGTGCCTTCTTTGTAGCTAAGGAGAACCTGGAATAAAAGTACTCGTGTAAAATACTTTCTGAATTTACTGTTTCCTAAGCTCGCTTGCTGTGTGTCATCCACCGAGCAGAAGTCCTTCTGAGCTTTCATTCTCTAGTCTCAGCTTAGCAGCACTGCGTAAACCCCTCCTAACATTATTAATTTTTCTAATTCCCATGTAGGAGAAGAATTTGGACTGGTTCCCTCGGATGAGAGCCATGTCCCTGGTTAGCAACGAAGGCGACAGCGAGCAAAACGAAATCAGGAACCTGCAAGAGAGGCTGGAGTCAACCATGAGCCTTGTAAAGCAGCTTTCCGGTCAGCTTGCTGAGCTCAAGGAACAGGTAAGTGCCCCGCAGCGGGTAGCAACCTGCGCACGTGTGGGTGAACGCGCTAGCTTTCATCAGGTCACAGTCAGGACAGCGTTACAAAAGAGACTTTTGTCTTAGAAAGGTTTTATCTTTCCCTCCAGTGAGCTTTCTGAGTAGATACGCTGATACGGGTTTGGAATGAAATTGTACTCTATTAGCAACAGCGGAGAACAGGTAAGGAGAAAAGCCGAGGGGGAAATAGTTATGAAATCTTTCCAGTGAGGACAGAGGGAAGACTGCAGAAGTGATGACGGGCTTTGCATATGCAGGTACCGCATAACCTGGCAATAAAAAAGACGTAGCGTTAGAAATAGCTGCGTACTGATGGGAATCAGTAAAAAAGCTTTCTGAACCCAACACTTGGATTTTTCTTTTTTCCCCCGCTAAGAATATCGACAGTCTGTTGCGTAAACAATTTGCCGAGCCTGTCACTTTGCTTGTGTCACCCTTGTCTGGATGCCCCTCCCGCGGCTCCCCCTTCTCTCCTGCATGGAGCACGGGCTGCTGGCCTCCCTTAGAGCCCTGCTCCTGCCCGAACCACCTAACGGGTTTCCTCTCGCTCCAGGATCAAAAGGCCAGCTCCTTTTTCGCTAAACATGCTGGTCACCTCTGGTTTCCTCATTACGGTTTCTGAAAAGCATCTTTGTGTTTTCTTTATGGGAAGCACTTCAGTGGCATCAACAGGGTTATCTAATTATCCCCCTTCAAATCCCTCCTTAAAA